GATCTGCCTTGCAGAAAGACCTGTTCCAGTGGGGTGTAGTGGAACTGACACATCCAACCAATCTTTCTCTCTGTCTCATATACACACACACAAAATTTTGTATGGTATGACTAAAAAAATTATTTCATATTGATGAAATCAACTTCAAAAAATCAATCCTGCACATGGCCACACAGCAAACCTTAACATTAAATAAATTAAAAAACAAGATGTTTTCCTTCCTTCCTTCCTCCCCTTCCTTGCTTCTTTCCTTTTTTTTCTTTTTTTTTTTTTTTGAGACAGTCTCGCTCTGTCGCCTGGGCTAGATAAGAGCAGCGGTTTGTTATTTAATAAATGGTACTAATATAACTATCCCTCAAGAAGAGGGTGTTGGACCCCTACTTTCTATCAATTATAAACTATGTTCCAGATGTTTTGAAGAGTTGCTGTTGGCTCAGGCAAAGCCTGTAATCTTAGCCAGTTTACCACACAGATTTATTTAGGTATTTGTACTACCGACTACTTCTATTATCCACAGAATAAAATCCTGAACTGTCATTTAAGGTTCTGTGAAATTATCTTTCCCCATCAGCAAAAAGCCTTTCTATGTATATAAATCGACTTTGTTACTTTTCAAATTCTTAATCCTTCTGCTCTGCACAAGACAATGTCAAGAGAATAAGAAGACAAGCCACAGATTGGGAGAAAATATTTGCAAAAGACATCTGATAAAGGACTGTCATTCAAAATGTACAAAAAACTCTTAACACCCAACAATAAGACAATGAACAACCCAATTAAAAAATGGGCCAAAGATCTGAACAGATACCTCATACAAGAAGATATACAGATGGCAAACAAGCATATGAAAACATGTTGAATATCATATGTCATTAGGGAATTTCAAATTAAAACAACAAGATACCACTACCTACCTATTAGAATGGCCAAAATCCAAAAACACTGACAACACTGAATGCTGGCAAGAATGTGGAGCAACAGGAACTCTCATTCACTGCTGGTGGGAATGCAAAATGGTACAGTCACTTTGGAAAACAGTTTGACAGTTTCTTATAAAACTAAACATATTCTTACTGTATGATCCAGCAGTCATACTCCTTGGTATTTACCCAAGTGAACCGAAAATTTACGTCCACACAAAAACCCACATATTGATGTTTATAGCAGCTTTGTTTATAATTGCCCAAACTTGGAGGCAACCAAGATGTCCTTCAGTAGATGAGTGGATACACTGTGGTACATCCAGACAATGGAATACTATTCAGCACTAAAAAAAATGAGCTACCAACCATGAAAAGACATGGAGGAAACTTAAATGGCTATTACTAAGTGAAAGAAGCCAATCTAAAAAGGTTACATACTGTACAATTTCAACTGTGACATTCTGTAAAGGGCAAAACCACGGAGACAGTAAAAAGGTAAGTGGCTTCCAGGGATTGGGGGATGAGGGAGGGATGAACAGGTGGAGCACAGAGGATTTTTAGGGCAGTGAAACTCTTCCGTATGATACTACCACGGTAGATACGTGTCACTCATGATGCATTTGCCAAACCCATAGAATGTTCACCACCAAGAGGGAACCCTGATGTCAACTATGGACAATGATGTCTCAGTGTAGGTTGATCAATTGTTAACAAATGTACCGCTCTGGGGTCAACAGCAAGGAGGCTGTGCCTGTGTGGGGGCCAGGGGAGATGGGAATGCTTCACTTCTGCTCAATTTTGCTATGAACCTAAAACTACTCTAAAAATAAAATTAACTTTAAAAAATTAAAAAATAGTTAAGAATTCTTAAAACTCTTCTCTCAAATCTTCCCTGGAGCGGGTTAACTGTTAACAATTACTCTCATTTGTACTGTCATTATCTCATTGCGATATAGGGCAAACAAGACAAGCCCCTGTGAGACTGAGGTTTAAACTCATCTCCCCCACTACTTTGGAAAAGAAGGTTCTGCAACTGGCGGTTTTCTTCCTCCCCAAGTCCCAGGGCTGTGAATTCAATATAGTACTCCTTACTGGTCAGGAAGGACTAGCCATATTTATTATTTTGAGCATATCAATATATTATTGTTCCAGAATATCATCAGAGAACATTTATGACCTATATTTTGTGCATTAGTTAGAACAAACCTAGACAGAACCTAGAGTGTTTACTCCTTTCTCCTGCCTCTGTGCAGTAATGTACTCAAACTACGCTAGCATTTCAAGCTTTTATACGTTTGCTATAAGATCCCACTGAAAATGAATTCTGACATCTCTCAACTCTTAGAGATAATGTAGCATAAAGTTACTATATATGTTATGGCTATGATCCCCGCTAGCAGCATTCAAGTCAAATTCTTTTTTTTTTTTTTGAGAGAGTCTCACTGTGTTGCCCGGGCTAGAGTGCCGTGGCGTCAGCCTAGCTCACAGCAACCTCAAACTCCTGGGCTCAAGCGATCCTCCTGCCTCAGCCTCCCGAGTAGCTGGGACTGCAGAATTGCACCACCATGCCCAGCTAATTTTTTTTTCTATATATTTTCAGTTGTCCAGTTAATTTCTTTCTAATTTTAGTAGAGACGGGGTCTTGCTCTTGCTCAGGCTGGTTTCGAACTCCTGAGCTCAAACAATCCGCCCGCCTCGGCCTCCCAGAGAGCTAGGATTACAGGTGTGAGCCACCGTGCCCGGCCATTCAAGTCAAATTCTTAACCAACTGTTTACTTTTCTACTTTTTCAACTTAATTTGATGGTAAAAAATATGAACCAAAAGAAAAACTCGGAGGAATAACTAGTAATTGCATGTGATCTAGAACAGAAGGCTAGCCAAAGAAGATATTCCATGGTTGTCTTCATAGCTGAAAAATAATAAGCCCAATTAGGGAAAAAAAAAAAAAAAGACAAAAACATTTAATAGGTATTATGTACAACTTCAGTACAAATTATCATTTCAAAAAATATTACAGGGTTTTTATTAATCCCTAGTCCCCCAATAAATAATTTTTGCAGCTTTCCTTCCCATGCGATGATTTCATTATAGAGTGAATGTTTTACTACATGACTTTGTATATACTTACATGCAAATCAGGGAGAATATTAGTAAGTGTCTTGAACTTCAGCTTTAAACTTTTATAGGAATTGCTTGGGCAGATGTCCTAATTTCAATCACTTATAGGAACAAACAAAAAATCATCAAGAAGACTGAGAAGATTGTGTCGTACCAGGGAATTTAACTGGGGTCACGGAGACAATGTTGAGTTGAAAGGTACTGTACCTAACACACTCTGCAGTGAATTGTATCAATCATGTCAGAGAGGACAGCAGTAAAAAGATAAACAAGGTCACAACAAGAAGTCCTGTATAGTAGCATCAAAGACAGACTAAAAAAACACAGAACGAAATCTCCACGATGGCAGCTGCCCATTGTCAAGATTATTTAAGCAACTCTACTGCTAACATGAGAAACCTGCCAAGTAGCAATCATTGATTTAAAATACAAATAAGGCAATTTAATGTCCTTTTTTTTCTTTTTTGTAAGAGAACTCTGGTGTGAGAACTATAAATACTACCAACTCAAAATCTAGTCTATATTATTCACCAAATTTGAACACCCACGATCAAATATTTGTTCAATTCTTTTTTGAAACAGTCTCTCTCACGCTGTCACCTAGGCTACAGTGCAGTGGCCTTATCATAGCTCACTGAGTAAGCAACCTCGAACTTCTGGGCTCAAGTGATCCTCCTGCCTCAGCCTCCCAAGGAGCTGGGACTACAGGTGTGCGCCACCATGCCCAGCTAATTTTTCTATTTTCATTAGAGATGGGGTCTCGCTGTTGCTCAGGCTGGTCTCGAACTCCTGAGCTCAAATGATCTGCCTGCTTCAGCCTCCCAGAGTGCTAGGATTATAGGCATTAGCCACCGTGCCAGGCCTACTAGTGAACTTATTAGCAAAAATATGATATCTGCTCCAAATGGATTCTAGACCTTATACTACTACTTTTAAAATACAAAACAGTATGGTAATGTCTTTTTCAATTATTGAATAGGTGAGAAGTGGTGCTAGAAACATGCAGGAAAACTATATAAGCAAAAAAAATAAACCAAACAAACATAGACAAGCAAACCCAGAAATGCTTCCCTGGGGTTTCTTGTATTCAGGGACACGTGCTACTTTCCTCCCTGAAGCTACAGCCAGGCAGACCAGGCTAAACCAACATTCTTCATATCATAACAATGAGAATCAATGCCATGTGCCAGCATATGTTTTCACGCTTTGTGCTTTTGTAGGGTATGGAATCTAATGGGAAAAAGAATCCTTGAAGTTTCATTTAATAAGGACTAGGCAGTAGATAAAAATTGGTTGAGGGAGCACACCATGGCATAGGACTGTGGCAACTGACAGGGCATGCAACGTCTAAGACTCGGTACAGGAGTCTTCAGCTAGATTAAGCTGAGGTTAAGCTACTGGTGTATACTTTAGAACCTAAACTCTACAACACCAACTCCCATGGGATCCACACATAATCAAGGCTAACATACATGTACATAGTTAAACACAGGGCTCATGGGAATGTATAGGCTAGTCGTTTGGCTGACCTATGTGCTGCTTCCATCCCTGATTTTTTTTAACCTTGTTCAAGTGGGCCAGGACAGCTACTAATGGTCCCACTTCCCTTTTAATGTCATCCTTATTTTATGTATCAACCTTCAAGTGGCTCACCAAAAAGTTATGTCAAGTCTACAAAATACAAATGAAACAAAAAAATCCCCACTACATACACACACAAATTGGACAATCATTTACAGTTCAGTGGGAGAGAACTTCTTGGGCCCCATCAGTTCGATTTCCTGTCTTAAAATCCACACACTGAATTAATTTAAAAGGACTTTTCCATTCCCCAAGAGGAAATGTAAAATGTGTAAGTCTTGAATAAAACATATTTTGGTGGCTGAATAATAATCTTATTGAATAAGAGACATAATTTTTGTAAACTACACAAGAGTGACAGTGCACAAACGTTTTTTCAGTGTGCCTTTAAATAGATGTCTCTTTCGACCCGGGCAAGTCATGCCTGTAGGAGGAAGGTACACATTCTACAAGAAAGTGGCCTTCTGCGTAACGCAGTCATGTTTTTGCCAGTGGGTCGAACACCTGCAACACCATCCTCTTGTCTTTGTCACTGATTGTCATCCAGTGACTGAAGTTTTTTTGCCCACGGTCTGATGGCAGCTCCACCTCGGCAGCTGAAGCACTGACTTGCGCTGGGTCTGTGTGTGCCTTGTCGGGGCTCCTGGTCCCCGAGTCCAAGGGGTCAGAGCTCTTGGAGAGCCAGGCATTATTCAACAGTTTAGGATGGTGGAGAAGGCTCCAGAAGGGATCCTGACAATTCCCAGTAACGGAGGCTGTCTCTGACTTCAGCACTTTGGTGCCATCACTTTCAGGGCTTGTAGCAGATGAAGTGCCAAGAAAATCCACTGGTGGAAAGAGAGTGCCCACGTCAGGCCGAGGTCCAGAGGGACAGCCGCTGCCACCACCGCCACCGCTGCAAGTGAGACCCTGGAGAAGCTCACTGTTGCTCTGCAGGACCTGCAGGTGGAAGGCTGCAGGCGCTGACTTCTTCCTCCTTGGGGGGACCTTGGGCACAAGAGATGGAACCTCCGGAGGTGGTAGCATAGTGGCTCCTGCCATGGGAGGGGCTTCGTCTGGTGCTGGCATCCCACTGTCTGGTCTCCTCTCTGCACCTTTCCCAGGCTGAGATGTTCTTGGTTTGGGAACAGGAGGGACTCGAGGGACTGTGGCTAGAAGAGGGGTTTCGAGGGTTGTCTCCAGGGGCCCAACTGGAAAATGGACAGTCTGCAGCTCAAACTGTTCGTCCGGTGACGGGGGCTGAGAAGAGGCAAGACCGAGAGAGTAACTAAGCAGGCAACACTTGGGAAGCTGAGAATCAGAGAACACTCAGTGGTCAGCAGGGAACAGAGATGAGACTAAGCTGACATTCTAGCAAATTCAAGATTTGAGAATGTCTGGGATGCTGAAACACAACTGGGTGAGAAAAAGCACAGGAGAAACACACACATTGAACAGGTCATACCAGCGTGTCCAACAAGAGATGAGTGGGAGTTTTTAAAACCAGGGCCACAGTGAAGAATTTGAGACAAAGTTTTCTTTGTTACTTTAGGAGATGGGGTTATGCTCTTCCCTTATTAAGAACAAACCTCTTTGAAAAACGTTCTTTGAGGCTGCAGCTTGGCCTGATAATTATACAGTCCGTACCATGCTAGGGTGAAGTAACATGTTACTGCATTAAGCTAATTGAAGCACTAATGGATATACTTTCTCCTTGAATATTTTGTATTTAAATACAGAAGAATGGAAAATTTTACGCAGGGACTCACGTCCTTGGTTATGATTCAAATCTAACATAACCCCCCTCCCCTGCCGCCCCAAACAACTGCACAGAGCAAAATGAAGCTTTTGTATAGAAATGGCTATCGGTAGAGTAGTTAAGCATTGGCATTTCAGTATTTCCTTTGGTTCTTTAGAAAACAAACTAAAAAAATAATCCCTTCTCCAATAGCCTTTTACTCTAACTCCTATGCAGCAGGCTAGAAAAAGGAATCCATTTCTGCTCCTGGCTTTTAAAAGAAAAGAAAAGACAAAACAGATAGTCCCCGACTTAGCATGATTTGACTTAACGATTTTTCAACCTTAAGAGGGTGCAAATGCAATACACGTTCAGTAGAAAAGCATACTTCAAATTTTGATCTTTTTTTTATTATTACAAAACAAGCTTTGCATTAGATGCTTTTGCCTGCCTACAGGCTAAGGTAAGTGTTCTGAGCCCGTGTGGGGTGGGGTAGGCTAGGCTGAGCTATGGTGTTCAGTAAGTTAGGTGGATCAAATGCATTTTCAACTTAAGGATATTTTCAGCTTACGACAGGCTCATTGGGATATAAGTCGAGGAGCATCTGAACGGCATAAGGAGGGAAAGGTCCATTTTGTAAGAAGGCATGGCAAATGGACAGATGGCAACAATCCACAGCGGGACAGAAGAGCAACCCAGAGAACACAAGGCCAGCTCCGTCAGGAGCGAGGGGCCAAGGCGACCGCCCACACTCCCAGGCAGGCAAGCAGCAGCCACTCTGCGAGCAGACAAGGATTACCAAGCATCCGCTACTACCACCGAGATCAAACGGAAGATCCAGATGTGTCTATAGGTGCCAGTCTTTGGGCTGCTACTGTCCTTACAAACTCATGTCTTTGCAGCAGTAAGCAAGGCCGAGAAGCTTGAGAGCGAGAGCAAAAGACGATCTGCAAGAAAAGTGGCGAGGAAAGCTGCGCAACCTCCAGCAGCCCGAGGCCACGTGCCAGCCTGTTGAAGTTGCTCGGCTGGGAGTCGGTTATTATTTTCCAAAAGCCAATAAAACCTGCACATGTGAAACCATGTGCTAACGACACAGACCATACACAAATGGGCAATACTGGAACACGTGGGGAAAGGCATCCCACGGTGGTTCCCTCTGGGGACGCAGAACATTTAGGAAGTATAATACCTCCAAGCTGTTCTTGTCACAGTGAGAATCTGCAGAAAGACAGCGAAGTCCTGTTGTGCTGCTCAGCCAGACCGAGACACAGCAGGGATGTGCGGGAGAGGGGCTGTCAAGCCTTCCCTCAAAGATGCAGCCGTGTCTGGTGCCACCATGTGTACGGACAGACCAGTCACCTGGATTTTGTCTGTGAGATGCAGTTCTTATCTAATAAGACGTTCCAGCAACTTAGCAGTAAGAGGTTTAGGCGACCAGGTTTTTACCTTTCCTGTCCTTCTCAAGGTTGGCTTCTTGATGGCGGGAACTCTGGGCGCAGGCCGCCGGGGCACGAGTGGGGGGACCTGCGGAGTCTCCGACTTGGCCACCCCTGCTGTGGGCTCCGGTGCGGAAGATCCCTTGTTCCTCAAGGCCATGGCATTTAGGGCTTCTTCTGGGGCGCCTGAAAAGTAAAATCACATGGCTGAAGTGCAAAGGATGAGGCGCTCCACCGCGTGATTTACTCTTTAGACAATCTACATCCTAAGGATAATTAACTAATTCAGTGCATTTCCTTTTTTCTAGAAAAAAATCTTTAAGGAGTGTCAGGACCGGCCAGCTAGATTTGGCCCCAGCTTCTCCTGCTCGCTGGGTGGTGACCTAGGGCCCGTGGGTGGTCTGGGTGGGGGTCAGTGGGGCCCTGAGATCACAGGCAAAGCTTCATGTGAGCTAACTTTTCTCAGCGGAGATGATCCAAAATGCATCAAAATCTCAATGGCCCACAACCAAGAGAATGTTAAGTTGGGACTGTGGGTAGATTTCAAACCTGTACTAACATCTACATCTCTAGAATTTTTTTTTTTTTTAAACAGCTTTACTGAGATATAATTCACATACCATGAGATTCACCAATTTTAAGGTACCATTAGTGTTTTTTTAGTATATTTACAAAGTTGTGTAACTATCACCACTATCTAATTCCAGAACATTTTCATTACTCCAAAACCCTATACCCATTATCAGTAACTCCCATTCCCTCCTCCTTCCATTCCCTGGAGACCACTAATAATTTTCTGACTCTATGGGTGTGGTTATTCTGGACACATTTCATAAAAATAGGATCATATAATATGTGGCCTTTTATATTTTCTTGGTTTCACTTAGGATAACATTTTCAAGGTTCACCTGTGATGCAGCCTGTATCCGCACTGCATTCTTTTTATTGTTAGAGCTGAGCAGTACTCCATTGTGCGATGTACCCTATTTTGTCCATCTATCCATTTATCAGCTGATGGACACTGGGGTTGTTACATCCATAGTTTTAGTTATTTTTCTTAATTAAAAAAAGAAACCATTTGTGGCAGTATTATCCTCCAACAGTGTTTCTCTACCTCTTAACTCATGCCCTCCTTAAATACTATTGGAGAATTCCAAAAAAGTTAATTCACTGGCTAAAAGCAAATTAGATACCTATGACTGCATATATGCTTTCAAAGGGCATGATCTCCCCTCAGCAAAACAGATTCGAGAACAAAGTCGAAACCCGTTAGTTACCAGTGATTTTGAATGAATGATTTTAAATGAAGGTGGTTAACACGGGTTAAGACAAGAACAAAACACCAGCAGGCAGTGTCGTGGAGAAGAGCTCCCTCCCTGCCTGACAGTAAAGAATTTATTCGCACTTGCAGGCGATTTATAAGGTAGACTTTGTGCCTGAAATAAAGGCACACACCTTACTGCCTCTTTTTTACAGAGCTGGCATAATGACCTAGTGCACGCTGCATTAACCTTTTTTAAATTTTGTTTTTGTTTATTTCAGTCTCTTAAATGTTGCCTAAGAATCCCAGGATTATTTTTATATATTTACTGAATTTTGAATACACAATTTTAAATGAATAATAAATCTTAGTAATTATATAAAATGTTGCTAAAGGGTACATTCATTTAATACTGCCTCCAGAAAAATTTTTTAAAAAATTTATTCTTTTCTAGACCACTTTCAGTGGGAAGATGAAAAGGAGAACCGTTTTCTCCTTAGCCACAGAGAAGAGCCCAAGAGAGCACCTACCTCCTTTGGCTTCCAGCAGACACCGAATCGCTGCTTCTGCCTCCTGAGCGTTGGTGGTTTTGATCTGCTTCACGTTATAAGGCTTACTTATTCCAGTCCTAGCTTTGGGCTTGCGGACAGAATTAGGAGGAGAGGTGAATTAGCACAGGCAAGGAAACAGCCTCACTACCTGCCAGGCCGCGCCGAGTGTGGAACTTACAGAGCGCTCTCAGATGGTGAGAAAACCAACTCCGATCTATGCGCAGCCCTCCACCCTCCTTCCCCCAGGAGCACTCAAATCCCAGAAGAGGAATGCCATGATACTGAGAACCCATGGCCCTCGTCTCCCACACTGGGTGGTTACAGGCTTTCGTATGTGGACAGACCATCCATGTCGATAACCAGGTAAAAGCCAGAAGGCAGAATCAGAGGCCACCCTTCCACAGTCTGGCTGAGTTATTAAAACACCTTTCAGATACATGTTTCCTTAAAAGTGCTTCTTCTACCTGTTCACCCAGTGTCTGGGCTGTCCTCGACAATCCCCCTTCGTTCCCGTAAACCACTGGCATCGAGTCAACCCCTCTACCTGCCATGGCTGCTTGAGCACCCGGCCAGGCCCAGCTCTCCAGCCTATCGGGTGGCATCGTGGGGCACAGCAGCTGTCACCCAGCACCCGGCTTCCTGGCCCACACTCTGAACCTGCAGCTCACGGAACGCTCTGGTACCCTCCACCTCCACAACCCCAAATGACTGTTACTCTTTCTCGTGTTCCCCTGCTTTGTAACTTAGGTTGTAGGTCTCTTTTTAGTCTCTTCTGTCAACCAGCTTTATGCCAGAACCATCATCGTCTTCTCAAGATGACCGATCTGAATTTCTCCTACTGACCGCTGCTCCGTGCGCCGAGGGCAAAGGCAAGAATCGGAAGGGAGAGACACAGGTGGGTGCAGAACTAGTAGACCCCCCTTGCAGGGACACTGGAGATATTTCATCAAAAGTGATTTTCTCTGGAACACTCTGCACAACCATCTAAAAGCCCTAGAAAGGACCTGCTACTAAGAGTTATGGGGTTTGGAGACGAGGTGGTGGATAGGTAGAGAGTTAAAGAGACATAAATCTATTTATTCAACGAAAAGAGGCGATCCTGCACCGTCGCGGGGCAAACCTGCTGGGTTGGAAACGCCACCTGTTTGACCCTGCGCTGAATACGGAAGGACTCACCGGTTGCTGCGGCGCTCCCGGCAGGAGTTTCGCCGTCTGCAAAATTGAATACTGCCCGTGGGTGCCGCAGGAGATGGACGCGTCTGAAGCCGACTTTTTCACCAGCAAACCGGCTGTAAAAACCAACGAGAGCAGAATCTCAGTCTTGGTGAAGCCAGGACTTCCCCGCCAGAGCGAGAAGCTGCAGGCGGCAGGTGCCGGAGCGGCAGGTGCGGGGGGCGGGCGGACCGCTTGGATCCACGGAGCTCCTGCGAGCCTCTCGCCGCTCTGCCTAGTCACGCACATGCTCCGGAGAAACAGCATTTGAATCCAATTTTAATCTAACATTCTGCGGGCTCCAAATCTAATATAAAAACCAACCGATTTTTAAATGGTTTAAAACATTAGTATTATTAGGACCAAATTTTTAAAACATTTTGTGGGGGGAAAAACAAATCCCAAAGCAGGGGAACAAATAATGTTAAATTATACTTGCAGCCATGTTATACTTGCATCGTTTTAGAACATTTAATGACACAGAAAATATGACACAATAAATGAAAGAAAGACGACTAAGCAAAACAGACATCAAGTTTATAAAAAACATAAAAATTGTGTGTAGCTATAGATAGATCTAACTGGAAAAAGGCTAGAAGTCTTTTGGTTAACAACTATTATCTGTAGGTAATCAAGTAAATTTTCGAATTTCATTCTTCTTTATAGTTCTCTATTTTTCTAAAATGTCCACAATAATACATGATTTATAAATTCTATTTTTATGTCATTTTAATTTTCTATTTTATTTTTTTCTGAGTATAAGCTCAGAAAAGCAAAAATATGCTTAAAAAGTCTCGTGCTTCTGGCTTGCCACAGATCGCTATTGTGACGCGAGCCACGATGAACCCGATTCTGAAAGTGACGGCTTAGGCAAATCTAAGTCTGACTGTCACGTTTGTTGTGGGGGAGAAGTAAACCGTAGCAGTAACGTGGAAGCTGGTCAGAAGCACATCACGGGTTTATTTTCAGGTTATTAAGCAAAGTCTGATGGACTCAACATTGTTTGCAGAGCAAGAAGAAAACCACGATGCTATGGGAGCCAGGCTGGGGAAGAGCTTGTTCTCTGAGTCCAAGGAACATTGGTAAACAAGAATCCTCATATCGCAGAGGGTGAACCGGGTCCCCTTCAGGTTAGGGATCTGGCATTACTAGATCTTAATAAGCAGAGGGCGGGCCGGGTGGTCGCCAAGGAGGGACGTGCCTGACTCTGCGAAGCTAGACAAGCCCCTCCAGTACTGTGGCCCCCAATCCCATTCCACGAGCCCCCAGCTGAGAGCGGCTAGCAGAAGCGCAGTGACTGGAGAACAGCTTTGGAAGCAATCGTGTCACTTGCCATGAGAAGCACAAGGATCTCCAACATCAAACACATCCTGGATTTAAGACAAAAAGCCCATGGGGAAGAAGCGTGGTGGGGACTCAGAGGCTGGGAGAAGTAGATTTGGAGCCACGTGTTCAGCAGCAGGAAATTTGTTCCCAGCAGGCGTCAGGGTAAGCCGAAAGCAAGCAGAGTCTTACTTGGAGGGGGGGGTCTCTGCGGTGGGTGAGGTGGCCGAGGCCTGTTGGGGACCGACAGAGACCTGCTTGGAGAACGGTGGCGGAAATCCCCAACTGCTTCCAGCTCCTGCTTTAACTCCACCAGGTCCGCGTCATCTGGAGGACACGGTGGGTCGTGAGGAAGACGGTCTTTTCCAAACACGCGTGTCAGACCGGGGTCTGCGCACACAAGCTGACCGTAGCAGTGGACCCGCTGCAGGGCAGCTCAAGGCTCTGCGGAAACAGCCCCCTTCCTGCGGGCGAGGGTAGGGGAGAGGCACCCAACGCCTGCTTGGAACCGCCGACAAGGTTTGTTTTCCAGACTTGAGAGACACTGAAATACTTTAAAGCGTAGGTGCGTTTCCTTGTGAAACAATCAAAAAGCCACACAGAGTAGAGAGACGCTGAAAACCAGAGCCCCTAGATCACCCAACCACAGAGAGACAAGTTTTTAATTCCTTACTTTAAGACATGTCAGCTGTGTTGGAACCTGAGAGTGTTCTCCCTTCTCTGGCAGCGGGGCAGCCTGGCATCCCATGACAAGCTCCTAGGGGTGAGTATCCTGCCGCCTCCCCAAATCCTGTAAGCCCACTGCCCCGTTCACAAGTGCGAGCCGTCCCCACTCGCCCAGCATGTGCCTTCTAGGAAGCTAAGAGGGGCCCAAGGAGGCGAGTGCTCTGTTGTGTTTCACATCAACTCAGGGCTTCTCTCGCGCATCACAGCGCAGCCCTCTGCGTTTCATTTTCACTCGGACACTCCACCCTCATATCCAACAGCTCCACCTCAGGTATCTTCGAGGCTGGATCTGGGGAGAAGCAGTACTTCTCCGTCTTTTTTTTTTTTTTTTTTGAGACAGAGTCTCACTCTTTTGCCCGGGCTAGAGTGAGTGTCGTGGCGTCAGCCTAGCTCACAGCAACCTCAAACTCCTGGGCTCAAGCGATCCTCCTGCCTCAGCCTCCCGAGTAGCTGGGACTACAGGCATGTGCCACCCTGCCCGGCTAATTTTTTCTATATATTTTTAGTTGTCCGATTAATTTCTTTCTATTGTTAGTAGAGATGGGGTCTCGCTCTTGCTCAGGCTGGTTTCGAACTCCTGAGCTCAAACAATCCGCCCGCCTCGGCCTCCCAGAGAGCTAGGATTACAGGCGGGAGCCACCGCGCCCGGCCTGGTACTTCTCCTTCTAAAGGGAATGGCTGAACACCCACAGCATTGAGGACTGTCCTCTTGATGCCCGCCAGGTGGCAAGGCCACCCACATCGCCCCATATTGCTCTATTAATTTCTTCATGCAAAGAAGGCATTTGTGCTCACACCTGCCCTGGCTCCAGAGGCAGCCTGAATGACAGCCACCCCTGGAGAAAAGGGCCACCTCTTCTCTGAAGAGCACATCCCCTCAGTCACTTCAACTCCCGGGCAGGAGCCTTCTGCACGAGCAACTTGCAAAACCACACCGCCATGCTTCTGCATTGGGCAGCAGTCCCCAAAGCTGGCTGTGCGTCCAAACCACCTGGGGAGTGTCATGAAATGCCAGACTTGCAGGGTCCCACCCTGCTCCTGCCAAACCCAAGTCTGTGGCTTGGCACGGGCAAGCTATTCATCAGTCTGGGGACTGTTATACAGACAAAGGGGCGTGGGGGTCTTTGAACCCTCCCTGGGAAGCACCTTAATTCACCTTCAGCCCTATTCTCCATTCTCGGCCGTAGTTCAAGGGTCCCAACACATGGCTAAGCTCCTGCACCTGCTGGTTAGAGCTGTCCTCTGACTGGGGACACCGTGGGCTGGCAGCCAGAGGCATTCTTGGCTGTGGATGGGACGGCGTCAGTGTAGCTGATGCTGAAATACGAACTACCCTACTTGCCAGCCATGTCACTCTAGTGGGTTTTAAAACTTACTGCAAAGAGTTACTGCACCATTTAATCTCGGGGTGTGCAGTTCCATCCGTATGACCTTTCAGGCCCTCTTTACTTGAGGGCAAAATGATAGAATGATGCGAGTGAATAATGACTGTCTAACAATATAGTGTTACATGAATATAACAACATACCAGCAACTCAGGCACAGGCATTGAATATGTCTCTCATGGGACTGAATCACAAAAGTTTCGGGGAAAAAAAAATCACAAATATAAAACCAGTTTGGAACCGTGGCCATTTGAATATACAGAGGAAACAGGAATCATCCTGAATCTGGCATGTTTTAGGGGTAGACGTTGTAAAAAATAAAGTAAGTAGAGGACATCAGTGTGTGGCAGCTGGACACGTCCCCAGAGCGCAGGCCCTACCCCTCGCTACGCCTCCCCGGCTCAGGCCTGTCCTGGGACCCGCGTGCTTTACGCCGGGAGAAGGAGGAGCCGCCCTGAGTGAATTCCACGCCAGCCGCTACCGAGAAAAGGAGGGTTGAGCTACCTTTGTACGTGGGACACTGCTTCTTTTTGGTGAGCGCAGGAGACGCGCTGGCGGGAGCCACTGCCGTGGAGCCAGGGGCACCAGGAAGGTCGTCTCCCCCCAGTTCGCCGTCTGAGACCACAGGCTGGCTGAATTCATCCACCAAGTCGTCTTCGTCCTCTTCAAAAATATCCCCTGGGAGAAGGACACGCACCACGACCGGAAGGTAAATGGTGAGGGCGGAGGGCACAGCGACCTGCGCGCGCCTCCCTGCAGCCTAGGCCCAGCAGCACGGCGCCCCTCCTCCACTCGCGCCACAGCCCTGACATCCTCAAAACCGATGCTTATGATTAAGTCGGCCGTCTCCGGGTCCCGTGCACCACTGCATGTGTCTCCCCCACACAGGGACGCCGCCCGCCCCATCACACAGGATGGCACACCTGCACTTCCGACATCCTCTGGGACCTCTGCAAGGCAGACTTCCAGAGAAGACCTGTAAAACCTCATGCCTGCTGCTGGGAGAACTGCTTGCCTGCCCCCCAGCAGGGTCGCTCACCTTCTGACTCGTAGTCCAGACTCGTGAAGTCGAAGTTCTCCTCCAGCAAACGGGAGTTGGCGGTGGGAGACACGGGGGCCATGCTGTCCCGCTTCTGAATGATCTCCTCACGCAAGCCTTTCAGCCAGTCCTTTGTCTTTGGTCTAATCTTCACGGCTCTGCCTTTCACCTGTGAGGACAGGGTGGCGTCCACAAATAAGTACCAAAGTTGTGACAACGCCCTTTGATCACACAGTGTTTCTCACTCAAACCCACGCACCCAAAGCAAGGCCAGTCTTCTTGCTTAGCGAGAAAAATAGAAGGTTGAGACTTCGCGCAGGCTCAGCACGGCTCTCACACGTGTGGCCTAACATTGAACTATCGTCTCCAGCTTCCCATTCAGAGCAAGTTTAAAACCAGGATATCATCAAAATAGAAATTACCTATGAGCTGCATATTCCAACATACACGCTCTGAAGAGAACGAGCGGCATGCTCTCCCACACGGGGATGTGAGCGAGGACAGACCAAGTGACTCAGGGGGACTACACTCTAAAACTTGCTCTTTCTCCCCAATTCTGCAAGTAGCGAGGGCTGGACATGACAGCTCAGAACCAGAATGAAGCACGCAAGCTCCTTCCCGCACGTGGTGCCTGCACAGGGACACAGGCGGGGCACAGGCCAGGGCGAGAGGAGAGGGGAAGACACGACCACGTGAAAGTGGGATGGATCGGACCTCGCCCCACGGTGAGGCCAAGCACGACATACCTTCATGCCGTCCACATCCAGGACGCTGAGAGCCGAGTGGCTGTCTGCAAAAGTCACCAGCATCTGCCCTTGGTTGATCCTGGAACGAACGAGGTTTGCCGAGTCAGCAGCGCCAAGCGCGACTCGGCAGCTCTCACGGATCCTCACTGACACCCCCCGGAACCCGTGGCAGCCGGGGCGGTGGTTACCTGACGAGGACAATTGTCCCGTAATTCCCCAGTGTCTGCATGAGTTCGGTACGCAGGTCCTCAGGAAACTCGTTTTTCTCTTCTGAGGTTGGCGACTGAAGATTTACTACGACGGTGGCATCCAGGGGGCCCTGGAAAGAGGACACTTCCTGGAAAACCCTCTCTCGAGCACCTGCGTCGACTTCTTGTACTTCCACCTCCACGACGGCCAGCACGGGTCTGCGTCACAGGGCAAGAGGATGACGGTGAGCCCGGGGCCACACGCACACACCCCCAGCCTCTGACCGCAGCCTCAGGGCCCCGGGCTCTGCTGCAGACAGTCCACGTCGGCCCCCTGAGGGTGTGGCCCCGGCGGTGAATTGGCCGGTGACTGCAGGCTGGCGGCCTTTTCCTAGAGTTTTAGTCTTTTTCTTTCCTCAATATTAGTATCGCCTTGGCATTGTTACCGAAGGACGGTTTGAGGGAAGAAAAATACTACAGAGCACTAAAGATGTAGCCCAGGACTTGAAAAATAACCAGCCATCAGCAAAGATCTTCCACGTGGTCATCCCTGGCACCGCCGAGGTGTGGGGCAGGGGCATTCTCTCTCTGCCAGGGCTTCGAGCTCTTCGGACGGCTCTTTGGCAATTTGAATTAAGAGTCTCAAAAACGTTCATCTCTTCTCACCTAGTACTCTCACTTCTAGCACTTTATTCTAAGGAACTGATCAGAAATCCAGACAAAGATTTGTGCGCAAGGTCGATCATTTACAACATTGCTGATGGGATGGGGAAAAGAGAAATGGTCTAATTGTTCCGTAATGGGGAAGCAGTTATGATACGTCCATATAATAATATGCTATACAATCATTAAGAATAATGTTGTAGAAATCTATTTGATATACACAGGAAAACAGTTTAGCAGGAAATAATGCAATCATTATAAATAATTCCAATATAGGGATGGGTGTTACTCTATAAAAATTTAGAAAATCCTATATTATAAAGATTAACCTTATTGAAAACATTTACAATACAATATTAAGTGGAAACAAAAAATAATACACAATAATATCCAATATGGTGGCAGCCTTTAAAACAAGATAATACTGTAAAAATTGAGATATAATGGGGTGATAATATTAATAGTATCCTGCCCAAAATTTATATTGCTATTGTTAGATTTTTTTTTTTTTTTTGCATCAGGAAGAAAGACAGCTAAGAAACTCTGACACAGGAACATGCACTAAGTGAGTCATTTTTATTTTTTATTTAACTAAATTATTTTTCAGGGTCTCGCTGTTACCCAGGCTACAGTACAGTGGCGTCATCATAGCTCACTGCAACCTCAAACTCCTGGGGCTCAAATGATCCTCTTGGCTCAGCCTCCTGAGTAGCTGGGACTATAGGCACACGTCAACATGCCCAGCCAATTTAAAAAAAAATTTTTTTAGATATGGGGTCTTGCTATGTTGCCCAGGCTGGTCTTGAACTCCGGGCTCAGGCAATCCTTCCACCTCAGCCTCCCAAAGTGCTGGGATTATAGGCCATGAACTACTGCGCCCAGCTGCAAGTGATTTTTAAAAACTTCTTTTAGCAGAAGGACTTTTGGGAGGAGCCCCATGTTAGATGAAGTGGCATATGTCTGGGTAAAAGTAGGAACGCATGGCGGGTGGCTTCATTCACCCAGTGACAAGGAGGAATGAACTACCGAGTCACACAACCACCCAGGGGAATCTCCAGAGATGTATGCTCAGTGGGGAGTCAGTCCCAAGACTCTGATTCCGTTTGTATAACATCCTTGAAATGACAAAATTATAGACAAGGAAGGAAGCTGGGTGGGGGCTGGGGTGAAGGAGGGAGGGGGTGGGGGAACGAGTAGGCCTACAGAAGGGCACCAGAGGGAGGCCTGGGGGACGGGTGCTCTCTGTCCTGACCACGTCAATGTCAGGTTCTTGGCCATCTCTTGAACTAGAGATGCTCAGGGTGTCACCATCAGGGCACCTGGGTGAAGGTCAGGCAAGTTTAATTTAAACAATATTACTGTAGTAAGTAAAAAAGCAAACTCTAAAACAGTTCACGTAATATCATCCTCATCCTTTTATACAAATTTTACATCTGTGAGCATGTGTGCCTCTATCGCACCTGGAAAATACAGCAGAAAGACACATAAATCATTACTGGACATTGTCTCGGGGGTGGGCTCGTGGATGCTTTGTTTGTGTGTATCTTTCCCTAATTATCAATAATCAGGATGTTCTACTTCTGCAATTAGGAAAGCAATAAATGTCTAAAGTGCCTCTCGCACCAGTGCGTCCAGGTCTGCGGCTCCACAGTCCTCCCCGGCCGCGCCGGCGCTCCTCCACCTCCCCCCAGTTCCTCCCTCTCTCCACCGACCGGTCCAGCGGCTCCACTCTGAGTCTACGCAGACCCAGTGCTTCTCACCACCTCGACCCACGGCCACCCTGGCCCAAAGCCACTGCTGCGCCCTTGCTTGGTCACTGCAGTCGTCCACTCCTTAACTCGGAGCAGGAGCCGGGGGCTTCTGACCGCCTCTGGGGCTCCGCTGAATCTGGTTTCTCGCTCGTCTCACCCCTGTGCCTTCCCCTCACTCTCTGCTCCAGTCTCTCCTCTCTCTGGGCCTCCAGGCCCCCACTCCGACCGCGCTCCCTCAGACAGCACGCGGCTCACGTGCTCGTTTCCACCAGCTCCCTGCTCCGACCAAGGTCACCCATCCGAGAGGCCTTCCCTGGACAGTGGGTAGAAAACAGCCCAACCCTGGCCTGCCGCGACTCTGCTTTCCTTCACAGCACTTATGTTTGTTTAGTGTCTGTCTGTCCTCTCTAGAAAATTCCGTGAGAGCACGGTCTTATCTGCTTTGTTCGCTGCTTGCCTCCGGTGCCAGCAGCAGGGCCTGACATATAAGGGTCCTCAATAAATACTGGTTAAGTGACAGTTTCTAAATACTTTCATTGCACTAGCAAATCTTAACATCACACATCTGAAGATTCCCCAAGATTCATTTCCAGGTATGTATTTGCAACAATAGGCATCTAAAGGATGCACACGGATCTAGAGATTTAGACCTACTGGCTAACCAACTGTTCACAGCTCTTTTTCTTAATTTCTTCCCTTGTAAAAGTTGAAACTGACATAATAGTTTTGGTGGCAGCCTTGGGAAGACCAAACTCATCCTATTCACACCATCAAACACCATCTTCTGCTGTCTGTTAGAGGACCTTGCCGCAGTCCTAGCCCACGTCCTAGTGCGCACCCCAGGCTGACAGCCCCTCGCCCGCCGTCCCCTGCTGCCTGCTGCTTCCTTCCCATTCTCAATTCATGATGCCGGAAGCCAAACCAGCAGCTCGGAACATTTAAAAGCCCGAGTCCAAGATTTAAAAACCCTAAGGTGCTTCCAATAATAAAATATTGGGGAAAAAATCATCAGTAGCTGAATGGGTAAATTCCATGGATCTATTTAGTGGAACACTGGACAGCAGGTGCAAATGAATGAACGCGGTCTATAACATCCACAGGATCGTATCTTGCAAATGTTAAGTGACAAAAAAGAAAGTTGCACAACAAAATCATTCAAGAAAATTTTAAAAGCCACAAGATAGAGGTTGTGTCTTTGAAATTTTCATAAATGTCATTTATGATACGGAGCAATGACAAAATGCTAAGTTATTTATCTTTGGGGGTGGGTACACAGATACTAATATTTGTCGTGTTATTCGTTGTTCTTTAGCGTGTTGTGCACGCACACACACACATCCTGTGGGGACAGCATGCCAGTTCCCGGTGGGGAGGAGGAGACACCGCCTTCCCCAGTAAAGCTGAAAGTGTCCTTGGAGCAGGACCTCACCTGTGATCAGACGCTTGTAGCTCCGCGCGGCCATAATACCTGAGGGCGCCAGGGGACCAGGTGTGTCTCACTTTGGTGTCAACATCTAGATCGTTGTCTAGAAGGCCGAGTTCTCCAGCTACTCGTGGAGGTTCCATTGAAGAGACCCACATGCAACACAAATCACAACACACAGGAATGCGATTACGCAACTTGCACGACAGAGATCTGTATCACGACCCACCTCGCGGCTCAGGCTTATCCGCTCTACCCCCTTGAACTTGAAACCAGACTTCGGCTGCTTTGGGCCTGGGGTTAATTATTCAAAACAGTAGTGACCATGGCCACCTACCATCCCCCCCCAGCGCGGGGACGGTGGGACCCATACACTGCGGCTGCGGGTCTCTAGCCAGGGCCCAGGAGTTCCAGGACAGCTGCAGACGCCCCGCCTCCGAGCGCTCTGGGCCATGCGGGCGTTCACAAACCTCTCTGAGGGAAAAGTCATCTTTTCTATCCACAGAGGCAGTTTCCTGGCTTTGAAATCTCAGCAGACGTCTCTCTTGAAATGTGTAATTACTATTTCTGTTCTGGTCTATAGGTGTTCTAACTTTAAATAAACTTCACTTCCTAGCTGGCATCAACAATTGTTCAAAACATCCTTGACAACTCATTGATTTAAAACAAAATCAGCTCTTATTTGTACTGTGTCGTGCTCATGTTCCATGTGGAATCGGGGCTTTAAGCAGAGAAGAGTTTGGTGGAACACTGCAGTTTGGTGGCTGCACAAGGGACGTGCGTGAGCAGGGCCGTCACGATGCTTTGCTCCCCGGAACAAGCAGGGGGAGGCAGCTGTGGCCCAGGGATGCGGACAGCCAGGAGCAGCCCCGTTTGCAAGTCACCGTCCCCAGAAAGAGGCCAGAGGGAGAGCTCGCCCAAAGCACAGCTTCCAAAGCTTAGGGGTTAACATCCGGGATGGCTTTTGTGTCCTTCTGGGTTATTAAGAAAACTGTAACTTACATAGCAGAGCACCGGGCTGAGTAAATGTGATTGTTTTCCTCTCTGGTATTTACCGTTCAGCCTCCACAGCTCTGGGACACTCACCTGTCTTATCGAAAGGATGCTTCTTCCTCCACCACAGAACCCTGTCTGTCCAGGCTGGGGTGCGGCATTTGTCACTTGTATCGTAGGCAGCCGAGCCAACATCATACTTGTAGGTGGGCCCAAAATTAATGGTTCCTTCATGAAAGTCCTTAAAAATCTATTGGGAGAAAATCAAGTCACAAGTCTACCTTAGTTCTTTGAGATTCTGTATGTTCTATATAAAAACAAAAAAATAAAAAGGCATTTTCCAGAGTGTTCTAGTCCCAAAAAGTAACAGAAACCATATGATACTTGCAAATACCTCTAAAAACAGGACATACATGTGCCTTTTATCTAGCAAAAGAGTGGTGGATCCTCTGCTCATCCCGCTGACGGACACCCCACCCTTGAGCCCTCGCTCCGGTGTCCGATCCGTCCTGTCCGCTGGTGGCCCCCAGGAGACAGCGGGAGGCCTGAGGCGGGCTCAGGTGTGCTCCAGGGCGCAGTCCCAGGCCTGGTGCAAGGCCTGGCCCACACCCGCATGGCCTCAGTCAATGCTTGTTGAGGAGATGAATTGAGCACGCAGAGGCAGAGTGAAAGCGAGCTCTCCTCTCCTCGTTTAGCTTTGCATCGTCCTTGGTGCTGGGGGAAGACCCAGGAACAATCACTTGTTCTCTCAGCACATCACTGAAAGGGTGCGAGCACGCTGGCAGGAGGAAGAAAGGACAACCTGCTTTAGGGGTTTGGTGTGGTCCCTTGTCCACCTGGGCACCCCTCAGTGACCCACGTACTGGCAAGGGCAGAGGTGGGAAGGCACAGAAAACCTCGAAGAACGTCCGAATCTCACTTTAGGAGAGACCTTGTCTTCCCCAGCCTCGCGCATTTAACCAGCCTCTTTCTCAACAGGTAGACGGAATTTAGACCGACTTCCCTCATTCTAGCCCGTCTTGCTAGGACGCTAACAGATGCTGAAATAAGTAAACGGTATTAGCTGGAGGAAAACATAAATTCTGGACATTTGGGAGCTGGCCAGTGTGACCTTGAAGAACTGAAGACATCCCATGGTTCAATCTTTCCTACGTATGTCGCGGCCTAAGGAGTCCCTAAAAAACTGTGCCTGGGCCATGTGGGGGAACATATGTGCTCTGTAGTTTGACAGTCTTGGACCAAACGATGGCTCTGTACTGGCTGTGTGACCTTAGATAACTTATTTGACTTTGTCCTCAGTTTTGTCTATAAAATGGGTATAATACTAATCTGTAGGGTGGTGATGAGGATCACAAATTGTGTGTATTTAGATAGTGTTATAACTTGTTAGTGTTTTTACTAACAAGAAATAGTGACATCACCAAAAGAGAGTATGTTGAGCAGAGTGCAAAGTGTCATTGGTGGCTTATTACATCTAAGTAAAGCTGTCTCGCGCCTGATAGGAGGTGAAGTGGATCAGGTGTACGTGGACTCGTGTGTGGCGGCATTCCACATCCCCACACGGTGAAATGCTCGGGTGCTGACACTGGGGCCGTGTGAGCTGGACACAGCTACTTCCTTGGTGCTGAGACAGGCGCCAGGGCTCAGCCTGTCTGGAAGCGGGAAGGACACAGGGTCACCTCGGAGCACGGGAGCGCGTGCCTGGGTGGGCACGGAGACTCCTTGCCGTCAGCTCCCACAGCGGGTTTCATCGCTCCCAAGCTGGCTTTCCCACACAATGGCCCCTCCGGCCACGGGAAGACACACGGATCCACGTATGGCAGCCAAAGCCCGTTAAGGAGAGGCAGGAGGTATGTGTGAGTGGCCCCTCCTGTTACCCCTGTAACTTCACGCACCCCACGTTTTCTATAACACCAGAAACACTGTCAAATCCACTCATGGAACCGAATTTGCTGAACACTAGTGTATTCATTTCATTCCATATTGTCATTCCATATTGTAGAAGCTGCTAAAAAATGTTTTAAAAGCACAACTTACTTTTCCACTTGATTTTTGTAGCTGTAGTTGATCAAATTCCAGAAGTTTCTTCCAGTCTTGGCGTTTAACAAAATAGAAGACTTCTTCGTAAGTAAGATCGATGCGGTAGTTGAAATCGCCACACCAAAACACATAATCGTGAGAGAAGATGTTTCTCCCCTAAGTTGTAAAGAAAATCCCAATCATTCCAGCCCATCTTGCAGGAAGGCAGGAGAGGGGAGAAAAAACAAGCTCACCGGCAGGCGACAAACAGCAGTATTTTTTATTAAAAAGTTACTTTAAAAAAAAAGTTTTCTACTAGAAAGTTTTCACTAATTTCCTAAACCTACTGAGGAATTTATATGCCACTCACTTTATTTTAAACGGTGTTTCTGGGTGGTTTGGAGAAAGCTCAGCTGTCACTGGGGAAGCAAGCCTGCTCCCAAGAATTGCCCAATCGCTCAGCATTACAAAAACGAGATGTAAGAAGAGCAGCCTAAGTGTTCAGACCGTGCACCTTCATAAAACTTCATGACTTCGGAGCATTTTCACCCGCACCCTCCCTCTCCTGCTCACTCCTCCTCCTTCAAAACCTGCCCAGTCGCCAAGAACCCACAGCCCTGCTGGCCCTGGACAGCTCCTGGGGTCCTTGCCCTCCCTGTCCCTGTCCCCAGAGACCACAAACCATGACAGCAGCTGCTGCGGATCAACTGCCTGCAAGGGCCGGGCTCTGTTCCGGGTGCACACTGTCCTCACAGCAGCCCCTGGGTAGCAGATACTACCGGCTCTGTTCTAGATTTAAAACCAAAACTAACTGAGTCCAGAAGTAATTTGCTGAAGGTTGCACAGGCAGTGCGTGATGGAGATCTGAGCTCGTCTGCCGAGCTCCGACATCTGTTTCTGTTCTCCCACACTGTGTGGCGTTCCCATTTCCCTCACGACAATAATCTGGATGGAAGATTAAACTGATCCAAACCGAATAAAACGAGTGCCTAGATAGCACTGTCTAACAGAACTTTCTGCAGCACTGGAAATGTCCTCGGTGCTGTCTGACGAGGGAGCCACTGGCCACATGCAGATACTGGGCACTTTCAGTGTGGCCGGTGCAAGCAAGGAGTTACTGACTTTAGCTGAACACATCACCAGTGGCTGCTGTATCGGACGATACTGGTGTAGACGATCAACCTTCAGGTACCCTCTATTTCTGTTGTTTAAAACAAAGGAGCTATCTTATAAACCCCTCGATTATTTGGACTGTGTCCCATGTTTGCATTTTTAAGTGACAAGGGTTGGACTTTCTTTTTTAACTACATTATATATAATTAAAAATTTCTGAGCTCATTTGTTTCTTCTTTAACTCAAGAAACAGAAACTGTCACTAAGATCATGGCCCTTATTAATGAAAACCAAGGAATTTCTGCCTCGAGTGCTTGCGCAGCCCAGTACACAGGACGTCAATTTTAAGGAATCTCTTTTCAGGCGGACGAGCTCTGTGACCCAACCCGCCGTCTCTCAGACACCAGAGGATTCCGTGGCGAGAACAGCTGAAGCCTAGCAGGTGGGGCCTGCGCCAGGCTGAAGGTGTGCAGGGGCTCGTCCTTACACGGGAAGGGGAGCGTTACATTCCAGATGTGAAAAGTAAAGTCCTCCGGCTTCAGCGCGAGGACTCCGGACGGCCGCGAGAGGGCGCAGGACGCGCATCACGGGCAGCCTCGGGACGGCCAGAGTTCTCTGCGGCTGGGAATTCGGGGTTTGAAACGGGTGTGCTTATCTGAGCCACAACCGACTGTGTGAGAAGACTGCTCATCTTGAGGAAACGGAGATTTCTACTGCCTGGATGCAACTGTTCCCACCACGTGGACGGGACAAAGCACGGACACATCGGTTTTCTTTCCCCAAAGCACCACTTCAGTGACAGAACTGGAAAATGCACATATGAAACCCTGGGGCCCTGCACACGGCCGGGGACCGCTCAGGGAGGAGGGGACGGAAGGCTGCAGGGCGGCCTGCCGCGGGCATGTCATGTACGCCGCCCGTGTCCCCAGCCAAGCCCTCCGGGCAGGGCCCCTCCTGTGCTCGTGTCCCCCGGCCTGGCTCCTAGCAGCAGCTCACCGTGGGGAAGCAGAGCTTCTGCGTGATCTCCCTGTAGTCCTCGTTCCTCTCCTTCACCTGGGACTGGCCGGCGGTCAGGTGGCTGCACAGGAAGCAGAAGCTGGTGCTGTGGAACTGGAAGCGGATGCCCACGGCGCCTTTGTTGCCCGCCTTGCCGCCCATGCCCGTCTTCACCGTGTCGATCGCCACGTCCCTGCAAGAGAAGAACGTGCGCACCGCCGGCACTCAGTGGCCGCGAAGGGAAGCGTGAACCTGCTCTGCTGCAGAGAGAGCCTGGCAGCAGCGCCACCCCCGCCGCTCGGGGAGTCTGCTCCATCGCATCCCCAGTGGCCATGCAACGGCGACCCACGTGACTGTCACCGGCTCCACGGCCAGGAGGCCACCTCCCTCTCACTGCCAACAGCTGCCCGGTGCACCTTCCCCGCACCCCGACTCCGAAGTGTTTTGGGCTCGTGTGAGCCCCCCGAGCACCCAGTGAAGCTGGAGACACGGCAGGCCCTGCGTGCACCCCGCCTTCTCGCTGCCGGCAGGTGCGGCGTGGACGTCACAACCTGCCACCACCGCCACCTCCTGACCCCTGTGCAGCCATCACACAGGGCACAGGAGAGCCACCAGGCATGTCTTAAGAACTAGGAAACCACTGGTCCTTCGTGCTGGGCCGGGCAGTGGTGTCAAACTGACTTTTACACAATGCAGGCTCTCGCTGGTGCTGAAATGCCAACTTACAGCGCGTGCAAGTGAACGGGGAGGTCCACAGAGCCGCTTCCATGACCGAGCCACAGACTGAGGCCTACAGGCACATCTGCTCCCTCGCACGCAAGGTGAGGGTGACACCTTGCCACTGCTCCCTTTTCGAGTAGCTTATCTTTGACCCTGACGCCAGCCTTGCCTTTCCTCCAACCCTCACTAACCTGCAGCCCCTAACCTGGGACACTGACCCACTGCCACGGACACGAGCAGAGGAACATGGACTGAGCCATTTTCCGAAGGTCACAGGAGAGGACTGAACACGGAGCATGGTCTTGCTCCCCACGTGCCGCCACGGGGGACGCCTGCGGCGCTCTAAGCACACGCAGGTACCCAGCCAGGCATAAGCCTGCGTGGCTCAGGGGGAAGGTGAGCTCAGTGCCTGGCATCGGCAACCAGGAAGGCGAGGAAATTCTAAGGCCACGAAGCCAGGCAGCAATGTGAGGATACCGGAGAGTTGAGGGAAAAGCCGAGTTCTTCAAACCCACACCCGCCCCTTCCTAACAGGAAACGCATTTCCTAAGATTTCCCCTTTCTGACACTCACGGAGCTGTCACTCTGAAAAAACAATAGCGGACGGGCAGCGGTGGAGGCCCACACGGTCTCCCTAGAATTCTTCCAAAAAGAGACAAAAGAATAGCAGTTTCCTGACGAGTTAGTCAGCTCTTGGTCACAGGTTTCCTGTCTGTAAAATTCCAACCAGGAACTCCCTTCCTTGCGCAGAGCTGGGCTTAGGTGAGGACAGTCATGTAACACTCCAAGAAAGCCCAGCTCCCTGGGTCAGAAGTTCCCCACTGTGGCTTTTTAACGGCTAGACAATATGCTATTCAGCCTAGTTTTTCCTTGGGGGTTTCACGACACTTATCTAGAATAATGGCAGTCCCCATTCCTGCTGGAGAAGAGGAGGAAGTCATAGAACAAAACACAAAGACTAACAACCCCGTGTTCCCCAGATGTTTGTAAACAAAGGTTCTTACCTGATGAACGGGACATGGTATGGACGTACAAAGATATAAAGACAGACGCCCACCAGCTGTGCCGAAGTCAAGAGAATGTACCTATGGGAGCGTGAGATGGCTTTCTGAAGCTGCTCACCCCACATCTTCCTGTTGGTGGTGCTGGAGAGAAAAGACAGGAAGCGTGGAAGTGCCGTCTCCCGCCACCGGCTGCCCCGGCTGCGGCTTATGCCTGTGCCGGAACTGATTTCACACTGCCCGCGCCCAGCGCGCGCCTGCCTCCGGCGGGTGGCCTGCGCGTTTTCGGCTGTGCCTCACACGCCACGGCAGCCCCTCCTCGACTCCGACACCAGGCACAGGACCTGCTCGCAGGAGCTCCGCAGAGTCAGTTTTATTTACTTGTTCGGAAAATTCTTTGAACTAAAAGCTGGGCAAGTTTAGCGGGGGAAAAAAGTCCGGTTGACTTTACACCAACTGTTAATCCAGTGGTTTTAGGAGGGTTTGATTTTATTTTTTCTTTCTTTAAGAGACAGGGTCTCTGTCGCCCGGGCTGGAGTGCGGTGGTGCAATCACAGCTCAGTCCAGTGGTTTGAGTTCTTTGTCCTGGTGTAAAGGAGGGGCGTGCCTCTGCCCTGCACGCTCACCTTCTCACCTCTCCCCAGGAAACGTGAGTCAGCCACTGTCCCAGCCCCACCCTGCGCCCCGGGTTCACGCGCACCGGCTCCTGCAGCAGTGCCAATCGGCCTCGCCGAGGCCAGACAGCGCAGAGCAAACGGCCGTGATCAGTCCTTCTCTCTGCTGCCTTCGTTAGCAGGGAAGAGGGAACAGGGCAGCGCGTACGTGAGGCAGGGGACGCAGCCAGGGTCGCAGTCGGCTGTTCAGAAGCAGGCTGGCTCGAGGAGAGTCTCGGGGGCCCTGCTCCCAGCCAAACACCTGACTCAGGAAGACCCCGCTTAGCCCCCTGCACGGCCCCTTACCTGGCATTGACGATATTCCCTGCACTCAACTCCACCATCTCTTCAAACCCCACAGCAAATATGTCAGCCGGGCTGCTGTCGTCTGGGGAACAAGGCAGGAGACGAAAGAAATCAGAACCAACAAGTCCTGCATGACTGGATCGTGGGGCCCCCATTTCCCTCTTCTGAGCCACGCTGTCCCCTGCCCGTCCAACTCGAGGTGGCTGCCACCACTCTGGGGAGCGGCTCTGACGGAGCCCGCTGCAGAAAGGCCTGGTGTAAGTGCAGCCCAGCGAGCCCAGAGGTGCTCTTCGCACGTTCCGCCTTTGTTGCCTTCCAACAGGGGCGCTCAGGGCCTCGTGCGGTCCCTGCAGCAGTTACCGACCTCTCCGCTCGCTCCTCAGACACTCGGGTACCTGCGCCCTCGAGCCCAGACACGGTTCCAGCTGCTGCAGAGCGTGAGGCACCTGCCTGCCTGGCTCCAGCTGGGGAAGTGGCCTCCATCAGTGACAGCCGGGCAGGCTGTGCCTTCCTGCTCTGTGGCCCACACCGGGCAACTCGGAACTTCTAGCTTCACCATTTTTTTTTTTTTTTTTTTTTAAAGAAAACAATGCCTGTCCCTGCTTGATCTGTTTGGCAACTGTAACTACAACTCCTTCCTTTTCCTGACCCTGGTGGCTTTCTAGTGGGCTGGTGAGCCCACTAATGCCTACGCCAATAAAATCCCTGCGCGATGGCAACCAGCCTGCTGAAACCACCCACGCTTTCCCCGCAGGCAAACAAGAGGAGTCGCTTTAGCGTGAGGGAGGGGACTCTCCTGTACGGGTGTCCTCAGCATCACGGGGCCTGCTCTCGCGGCACTCAGGACGGTTTCTGGATGCGTGACAAACACTGACACAGGCCACCACTGACATGAGAAGCCCAGAGACTCTCAACCGTGGACTCCGCCACCTGCCCTGAGGCGGAGCGGAGGGCGCAGACCGTGCGCGGCAGGAGGGGAAAGGGCTTGGGCGACACGCATCTGGGCCGCGTGGAGAATGTACATAAGCGCAGGCCACCGCCTGTCCCCTGAACCACAGGCCACTCGGCAACAGGCAAAGATGCAGATCACAGGTCTCCTCCTGAGCCCAAAGGAGGACGAAGCGAGGCCCCGCGTGAAGGCTGACTGGACAAGGATCCCCTACTCCTCGCGTCCTCAGCTCCAAGGCCATGCGACACCTTATACTGCATGACGTAAGGTAAAAGGTGGGGTGTCAAATATGGAGTCGTTTTATTCTTAAAAAGTACATAAATTCTTTCGTATTGTGACTCCTTAAAGCAGACCACAGAGCTGGTCTGAGGAAAGGCCGGGGCGAGGGTCTCCGGGTCAGCAGCAATATCAAAGCCCCATCTGGCTCCCACCCGACGGGGACGCGGCTCTAGGAGCCACGTCGTCCTCCTGGCCACAAAGAGGTCACCAGGGAGGGGTGATCTACTGATCAAAACCCAAGACTGCACAATCTCTCTATGTGAAGAGCAAAGAGATTCGCCCCCTGATGACTCTTCTAACCACTGGGAAAAGAAAAGGTAGTTAATTTGCGGGGCAGATTCTGGAAAGTGAGACCATGGTGCTTTTTAAACATTCTGAGGAATGGAAACAGCAAACGCTAAATTCCATGCGGCAGTGGCTATTGCAAGGGTCAAGCCTGTTACACTGGGTTGGACGAACTCTGTGTGTGTCCCCACCGCGGCAGCTGCCCTCACCCTGGGGCCCCGCGGCGCCGGCCAGCTGGGGCGCGTCGAGCAGCCAGTCTGTCAGCTCCGCCGTCCCCAGGAGGTTGCTCCGGAACTGCTTTCCCCCGTTCACGTTCCACGTCCCCATGGCGATGCGGACGCGTTTGAGATTTGTGAATTCAGACTGGCGCTCCGTCATAGCTTTCAGGATCCTGGGAGTCACTGTGGGGGGCGGGGTATAAAAAGACAGATTTCTCTGCAGTTCGAAACCACGGGCACCCTCCAAAAATATGGGAGGGGCCGCTGTTCCAGAAGACGAGTGGTGAGCCTCTAGCTACGCTCCCTAAAGGAAGATGATGAAAGGCTTAAAACCACAGAAACCCCTGGTGCTTCCCTCCTGGCGTTTCTGCATAAAGGCGTGGAGACACAGGACTGCCAACTCACCCCCACACCCCGCCCCACCACAGCCACAGCGGCCAGCGGTCATGTGACATCAGATCACCAGGAGCCTCAGACACAACGGGGAAAAGCCCTGTCCCAGCACCCGCCCCACACTCCCTGATTCCGCAGAAGAACAAGGCATCGGAATCTAAGCGACGTGATGCTGCAACTGACCATATTTAAAATATATATGAACACACACACACACACACACACACACACACGTGTATAACTAAACATCTTACCAACTAAAACACCCATTCTTGCATTTTCCACCTTCCCTCCCGCATGCCTTAAATGTTTCATCTCAGACTTACTTAAGGCTTTAAAAAGTCATTACACAGAACCATCTCCATGGTTAGACAGCCAAAACATATTCGAGTTTTTAAACTAGTGACACGACCCAAATCTAACTGGAGTCTGCCCTGCCACTGAGCGAGACTCACCACGCTACTCAGAGCTTCCCTTGGCGTTCGCCAAGCGGGCACCGTGCCCAGGGTAGAAGCTAATTATCGCCATGGCTATCAGAAGCCAAAATGAGTTCCCCCAGTGATGGAAGAATGAGGGTAGAACAGGGCTGTGAAACCACTTTAAACACAAGCAAATGCATTTTTCAAAAACACCAAAAATTTCTAAAACAAAACTTAAAAGGAGAGAGAGGAGCCAAGATGGCGGATGAGACAAGCTGCCAGTCAGAAGGTCTCTGCAAAAAAGACGAATTTTAGAAGAAAGAGAAAAAAATAAGCTAGAAGAAAAACATAGATCCGGTGAGGGTCGGAAGGAAGGGTGCCTAAAACTACAGGAGACTCCACGGGAAGACGCTGCAGAGGAGAACTGGAAGGAGAAGGGTCCCGAGAGGCTCGGAGCCCAGCCACAAGGGTAGGTGGAGCGGTTAACTTCCCCCTCGCTGGGATCTCGGACTGCTGGTGGCTCCTGAGAGGCTGGAGAGACCTGCCGACACCAGCCCAGAGACGGCTGCGACCAGTGAGCGGTGGCCTCTTGCGGACTCAGCGCCGGGCTCCCAGCCCCTTCGGGCACCTCCCCCGGTGCAGACGCGAGCCTATCCGCAGACGCCATAGTGCTCCGTTCTCTCCTTCCCCCTCCCTACCCGTGTGTGCCCAGAGAGACAATTTAGCCGTCACACGGAGGCATCTCCAAGGGATGGGACCTCTCCTTTTGGGGCCCTACAGCAGGCTGAGGGGCACTCAGACTGCGAGTTCGCTACCCGCCAGCCCTCCCAGGTGCCACTTGCCTGGGGACTCCAGGAGAGTGGGGCAAATCCCGAGGCGGAGTGAAATCGATCCAGGTTGGGCGCCCTGTAGGTGATTCAAGACCACCACTTCTCCCCCTGGCAGAGTCAGGGATTGATCTCCAGAGTCTAGGGGTCAGGCCTGCAGACCAGACCCCGTGCACCCGGGTCGGGAATGTGCTGCCCTGGGGCACATAAGAGAGATCTGGGAAAGAGCCTACTGAGGAGTGTGTGCCTTCAGGGGCAGATCAGCATGCCTGACCAGCAACCCTCCTCCTAAAAGAGGGCTGTGCACCCAGCTCAGGCTACCATCCTGGGTAGGGAACCTCCCAGCCCACATCACAGCCAGGGGAGATCCATCGGCCTGAGGCCCCACTTGCTGGCAGAGGCCTGGGAGAGGACACAGAGAGGGGTAGATTGGAGGGGAGCGAGACCTGCTCCAGAGTGCGGGTCTTGGACAGCCCCACCCCCCAAGCCCAGACTTTCAGCTGAGTGGAGCCATTT